CCCGGTCTCATCTAAATCCCCTCCATTGGGTGCGGATGAGGATCCTAGCTGTAATCAAGTAAGCGTGTCTCTTGAGCCCAATTTTCCCCCGTCTGAGGACCTGTGAAGTAAACTTCCTACCCCGCCGTTCCCAACATGCAGTGTGTGACCGCCGGGGATGGCAGTTATAGATGTGCCTGTTCCAAAGGCAGTGGAGGGGATGGAAAGCAGGAGGGAGGCACTGGTGCAGAACCAGTGGACACCCCACGGGGAAACCCCATTTGGTTTCAAGGCCTGGGGAAAAAGTGTCTGTGACTCCCAGCTCTGCCCTCTGGGTTCTTGGCCGTCCTTATTTTATGGGAAGTAGCACATGCTTGTTTCTGTGTAGTTCTACCAGCTTGCAGGTAGGAGACGAGTAGAAATTGGTGGACTATTTTTCTTGGGTTCTTTCCATGTTCCTGTAGGCGCTGGCACTGTTTATGGTGATGTAATCATCTCCAGAACCTGTGGTCCTTGTGTGGGTTTCTCTTCATTAGACAAAGCCACATCCATAGATTTCTTTTGGGGGGAGGAGGTGCGAGGAGAGGTTTTTGCTATAAGGCACATGCGCTCATCACAAAGACAGAGAGAGAGAGACAGAGTGCAAGAAATCAACTCCTAGGGGGTTGGCCCTTCTCCTCCATCCTCCTCTCGGGATCTTGTGCACTCACGCACGCACACCTAGCATGAGTTTAAGCCACCAGGTCTGAGACTTGAACCACGGCTGACTACATGGGAGTCCAGCCACATAGCCATTAGACCAACTGCTGGTTCCCATGGTTTTTTTGTTTGTTTGTTTGTTTTGTTTTGTTTTTTGTTTTGCTATGGGGCACGTGTGCTCGCCAGAGAGACAGAGAGACAGAAAGCAAGAAATCACCCCCCAGGGGGGATGGCCATACTTCAATCCCTTCTCCTCCCTTCTCCTCTCGGGATCTTGGGCATGCATGCACACGCGCCCAGCATGAGTTTAAGCCACCGGGTCTAGGACTCAAACTGCAGTCGACTTCATGGGAGTCCAGCAACATAGCCATTAAGCTAACTGCTGGTTCCAGATTTTTTTAAATGTATTTTATTCTGTTCAGGAAGTATTTATTGTTGTTCTGTATTTGAGAATTTTCGCTGAAGAACCTGGACATTGCTGGGGTCACCATCTTCTCCCGGACCGTTATAGCCATAGGTTGTCTGTATTTTTTTTTTAATTATACCTTTTTTTATTAATTATACCTTTTTTTTTTTTAATTTGACCGGAGAGTGACTGAATGAACAAGAGAGAGAAAGAGAGAGATAGCAAACCTCCAGGTCCAGGTCTGGAACCATAGTCTGCCATGTGGGAGTCTAACACCCTTAACTACCATGCCACCTGCTGGCCCCAACCACAGATCATTTTGAGATAAGACTGCTGTGCCTTGGCTTCCTGATGAGAGGTAGCAGGAACCTGCCCTTCAATGTCTTACGAACCTGCCCTTCAATGTCTTACACATCCTCTGGTGTTATTGAGAAGACTTAAGAACCTTCATTTGGCTGATTTCTTGGTATTTCTGTAGTCTTGGCAGAACACCCTGCCTTTCATCTGTGCCATAGTTTCAGCAGCCAGCTCTGACTTTTAGCATTTTGTGACATCTGGAGAGGCTGCGAATTTTCAAAATTATCTAGTGAGTTCTTCCCTCAATGTTTCTCTCTCCTCTCACATTTTGCTATGAGTGGCAAGAAGAAACCAGGCAACACGTCAGAACTTTGCTTAGAACCCTGTTGGCCGTGCATGCCGACATGCCCGACAATGTGCACTCCCTAGTTTCTGCCGCAACATGCTCAGGGCCTCCTTTCCCCATTCCCAAGAACATGCTCTCACTTCTGTGTGCTCTCCTCAACAGTGTCCTGAAAGCCTACATTTCTACCACCACTTTGTTCAAAAAAATTTAGGTTTCTCTGTAGTGACTTAAATGTTCTTCTTAATGTTCCTCAAAATTCTTCCAACTTGCATTCACTGCCCAACCCTAAAGCCACTGCCACATTTTTAGGTATTCGTTATGGCAACACCTCATTTCTGGAATTTCTTTTTAAAGAATTATTTTTTTAACTTATTTATTTATTTATTTTAATTTGATCAGAAAGGGACAGAGAGAGAGAAAGTGAGAAAGCAATCTACCAGGTGCAGGACTTGAACCAGTCAGCCAAATGAGAGTCCAGCTCCCTTAACGACCATGCCACCTGCCAGTCCCAGGAACCAGAATTTCTATTTGTTTATAGCAAACGCTGAAATCTTGGCTTAAAACTACACAAATTTATTTTATTTTACTTTTATTCTATTTATTCTGTTTTGTTTTTTAGATTTTTGCTATTGGGCACATGCATTTGCCAGAGAAAGAGAGACAGAGAAACATAGAGAAGGAAAGTGAGAAATGACACTTGAGGTGGGAAGAGTGATGACCACGCTGCAATCCCTTCACTTTCATTCTCCTCCTGGGATTTTGGGCATGCACACAAATGCACCTGGAGTGATTTTTTTTTTTTTTTTTTGGAGAGATTTTCACTGTAGGGCACGTGCGCTCGCCAGACAGACAGAGAGAGACATAGAGACAGAAAGCGAGAAATCACCCCCCCAGGGAGGATGGTCACGCCGCAATCCCTTCTCCTCCATTCTCCTCTCGGGATCCTGGGCACGCACGCACACGTGCCCGGCGTGAGTTTTAAGCCCCTGGGTCCGGGACACGAACCGCGGTCGACCACGTGGGAGTCCAGCGACATAGCCATTACGCTAACTGCTGGTTCCCCACCTGGAGTGATTTTTCAACCCACCAAGTCCAGCACTTGAACCATGGTCAGCTCTGTGAGAGTCCAATGCCTTAACCACCACACCACTTGCTGGCCCCACTACACAAATTTTCCATGGCTTAACATGATTCTCTGTTCATTCCGTCTTACTAAGGGGCCAGCTGGCTGCACGGGCACTGGAGGCTCTGGGGATGAATCTGCTTCCAAACCTACATAGGTTGTGGCAAAATTCAGGTCCTTGAAGTTGAAGGACTAAAGTGACCATTTGCTGGTTTGGAGGTCACTCAGCTGCTCCCACAGGCTTGTAGCAGTTACTTAGCTTACTCATTTGGCCAGCGGCAGGATCTCTTCTATCAAATCCTCTTTAGGGAGCCAGACCCTGGTGCAGTGGTAAAATGTGAGGCTAATTCACATGGGGCTGATCAAGGTTCACATCTGGAGACCTCATTGAGCAGTAGGCGTACACATGTCCATAATTCAAGGCCGGCTATGGCTGGGGGTGGAGATGCCATTTCTCTGTCTGTCTGTCTGTCCCTCCCTCTCTGTGTCTCTCCCACTCATAAAGGAATAAACTTTAAAAAAAAAAATCCTTCTTGGGCTCTTGAATTTTTTATTTCTTCTGTCTGTGACTTCTAAACTCAGATATAAAGGACTCATGATTAGGTTAGGCCTACTAAGTCAAATCACCCTTCCTTAAACAACAGTCTTTTAATGCACCATGTAACATAATGTAGTCACAGGAGCGAAAGCTCATCAGTTACAGTCTCTCTCAACCTCAAGGTGAGGAATTATAGTGATGCAGATCATTTATAGTCGTCTTAAAACTCTGCCTGTCTCAGGCTACTATAAGACAGAATCTGCTTATGCAGACATAAGACTTTTCATTCAAAAAGTTCACCTTCTAGCAAAAGAAACAGAAATGTAAAGGACAAATTTAAGGTACTATGAAAAGAACCAGAATAAATATAGCCATGAGATTCTCAAGATTATGCATGGAACAATGCACTATCTGTATGTTATTTTCTCTTTTATATTTGTATTACTTTGTAGACAGGGTCTTGTTGTGTTGCCATTTTCCTTCTTTGGCCTCTGTGAGTTGCTGGGACGAGGTGCATGCCACTGTGTCCTGCCTTAGGTTGAATTGAGAACTCAGTGGCCTTCTATGTGGTCCCAGCCTTCAAAGCATGGTGTCTTAGCAGTGTGTGCCTCTGAGGCTGGGTCATCTACCCTTTTCACCCCTAGTATTTGATTCTTTTATATTCTGAATTGTTCTTTGGTTCGTTCTCCTTTTCTTCCTTTTTTCTTTTCCTCACTCTCTAATGTTTCCTTAATCGTAACAGAAGATCTTCAGAATCTGTGGATGAACGTTTGTAGTGCTTCAGAGATTTATATGAATGAAGTTCTAAATTTTTCATATAGGCCATTTATTCTTAAATTAATTTATAGTTATGAATTATAGCTACAATCGTAATGACTATATTTTAGAGAAGTTAAAAACATTAAAAGAGGCTGCAAGATGGTGTGAGGTTGGGGAAGCTGGAACCCACATGGTTGACTAAGAGGTTTGAGTCCTGGACCAGGTGGCTTGAAAATCACACCAGGCACACATGTGTGTATGCCCAAAATCCCGAGAAGAGAATGGAGGGG